AACAAACCAGTTATGTTGGTGCTAAGATGGTCTCTTTGGTACGCCCCCTCCTCCATTGCCGGCCCTCTTCCTTGTTGACACAACGTTTCAGCACAAAGAAACTTTCCAGATGACCTGACTGAAAAATGTTGGATTGTATACCTGGATTATTGAGCATGGACTTTGTTGTTTTCAACCAGTTTGACACAACGGGGTGCACCAAAGAGACCATCTTAGCACCAACATAACTGGTTTGTTTTACTTTGGAGTAAGCTGTTGGGGGAAGAATCAGTTTTGTGTTGTGTGTTTCCTTGACTGATGAAGCCTTCCGGATCGAAGGTTAAACGTATCAACACAAAAAAAGAAACTGTCCAGATGACATGACTGAAAAATGTTGGACTTCTATATACAGTATCATTGTAAACACAGTTCATCTTACCATCCATAAATGCAGGTTAAAACTCTATCAAGCAAAGAGAAAGTCATACGTGAACATCATCCAAAACTGCTGCTGTTTTCAGAGTCAAATCTCAGAATGACAACATGGAATACTGTTCTGTGGGCAGATGAAATATGATAATACAAATTTTACATTCTTTTTGGAAACCACAGCTGACACATCCTTTGTATTAAAAATCCAGACTGTTATCTGCATTCATATCTGAAGTCTGCCTCATTGATGGTATGGAGGTGCATTAGTGCTTCACGCATCAGCAGCTTACACATCTGGAAATGCAAAATCAATGCAGAAAAAATAAACTGTTTCCAGTGATACGTCTTTTAGGGAAGGCCTCACATATTTCAGCAGGACAACCCTAAACTAAATTCTGTATCAATTTCAACAGTATTGCTTCATCGGAGAAGGGACCAGATCAGGTCTCTCTTGTAAATTAGTCCTCGGGGCTCTATGGGATTTACCTGTCTAAATAAAGGTTGAATGAAAGATTTTGACACTGTGCACCTGCAGTCCTGTCATTGACTCTAGACTGTTGAACAGCTAGAATCCTACATTAGATTAAAATGGGACAAATTCCCCTCCAAAAACTGCAGCAACTGATCTTAATCTCAATTCAAGTGAACTTAACCCTTGTGTTATGTTAAGGGTCAATTTGACCCGTTTCAATTTTTGTGTTGATCAAAGTGCAGGTTATCCTTTCTTTTTTTCCATGAAATGTTGTGACTTTTTCTCCTCTAGGGTCATGAACTTCTATGTAAAATCTGGACTCTTTGATGTGTTGTTAAATGTCTGCACACAGTTTGTATACAAAGATGATGTTGCGGGTCATTTTGACCCGCACACAGAGTAGCTGTTAAAAATCCAAAAAAAAAGTCTTTGATGTACTTCATTTTGATTGCCTCTGAATAAACATTCAGAACCAGGTGTGTGTGGAAGAGGGACTTTCTCTCCCCTGTCCTTGTCACTGTTTCCATGCCCGTTCTTGGAGAAACACCAAAAATGAGCTCCAGACGATTTACAGCTGAAGAAGCTTTTTCGCAGCTTATGAACTGGGATAGTGATGTAGAGGAAGAGGTTTCAGAGACAGAGGATCCTTCAGAGCCAGAGGACAATGCCATTGATGATCCAGATTTTCAATTTTCCCATGATGAGGAGGATTCAGAGGACGAGTCTGCAGGTGTCCCTTCTTCAGATGAAAACCAAGAAATGCAACAATCGTCATCCACAGAGGGGACATGGACATCTAAAGATGGTAAAATAAAATGGTCAACATCACCACACCAAAGCCAAGGTAGATTGTCATCTTGTAATGTCATCAAAATGATTCCTGGTCCTACAAGATTTGCTGTCACAAGAGTTGATGATATTGAATCAGCATTTCAGCTCTTCATATCCCCACCCATAGAGAAGATAATCCTCAACATGACCAACTTGGAGGGGAAGCGTGTCTTTCAAGAGAAATGGAAGCCACTGGATCCGACTGACTTGCATGCTTACATTGGAATCCTGGTGTTAGCTGGCGTATACAGGTCAAAGGGTGAAGCAACTGCAAGTTTATGGAATGAAGAGAATGGAAGGCCAATCTTCCGAGCAACAATGTCTTTGGAGACATTTCACATGATCTCTCGTGTGATCCGATTTGACAACCGTGACACCAGAGCTGATCGACGTGAGAGAGACAAACTTGCAGCAATCAGAGATGTCTGGAATAAATGGGTCGAAATCCTGCCTTTATTGTATAATCCTGGCCCCCATGTTACTGTCGATGAGCGCCTCGTTCCATTCAGAGGACGCTGTCCATTCCGACAGTATATGCCAAACAAGCCTGCGAAATATGGCATCAAAATGTGGGCAGCCTGTGATGCAAAATCCAGTTATGTTTGGAACCTGCAAGTATATACTGGAAAGCCACCTGGAGGAAGACCTGAGAAGAATCAGGGAATGCGTGTGGTTTTGGAGATGACTGAATGGCTGCAAGGTCATAACATTACATGTGACAACTTCTTTACATCCTACCGTCTTGGAGATGAACTTCAGAAGAGAAAGCTGACTATGTTGGGAACAGTCAGAAAAAATAAGCCAGAACTTCCCAGTGAGATTCTGAAGATGCAAGGAAGACCTCTGCATTCCTCAAAATTTGCTTTCACAGAGAAAACAACACTTGTTTCTTACTGCCCAAAAAGAAACAAGAATGTTCTTGTGATGAGCACAATGCACAAAGACGCATCTCTGAGCACACGAGAGGACATGAAACCGCAAATGATTCTGGATTACAACTCCACAAAAGGGGGAGTTGACAATCTTGACAAAGTCACAGCAACATATAGTTGTCAGCGCAAGACTGCCCGTTGGCCTTTGGTGGTTTTCTACAACATTTTGGATGTGTCTGCTTACAATGCCTATGTGCTGTGGATTGAGATCAACCAGCAGTGGAATGCCAGCAAACTGTACCGACGTCGACTTTTCCTGGAAGAACTAGGCAAAGCACTCGTCACTCCAAAGATCCAGAACCGGGTCAGGCCAGCTAGATCCCCAGCAGCTGCTGCTGTCATCGCAAAGGTCCAGGGCAGGGCATCTGACCAACCCACAATGGATCCTTTGGATACAGGTACAAAGAAACGCAAAAGATGCCAAGTCTGTCCCTCTCGAGATGACAGTAAAACAACTACCTCTTGTGTGAGATGCAAGAAATACATCTGCAAAAAGCACATAGTCACATTCTGTCCATCATGTGGGGAACGCTGAAAATGTTGACTGTCAAAAACCCGAGAAAATGCGGCAAGTTAAATGCAAAAAAAAAAAGGGTTCGTGAAGAGGGAAAAATTGAAATCAGGAGTTCTTTAATATAGTGTTGGAAGTGTATATCTCTACTTCTCATCTCTTCTAAATATTTGTATAATCTAAAATAAAGTTCTTATTGGTTTAACTTCATTTTATGACTGTTTTGAGTGGATTTACACAATGCGGGTCAAAATGACCCGCAACATAATAAACGTATTTTTTTCTCAACATAATACAAGGGTTAAAGAAACAATATTTTGATTCTTTGTATGTCTGTACATATGATGAACGTGACAATAAAGTAGACTGACTTTCCCTACATGTTGCCAGACTGTTTTCAAAAGAGGAAGGGATGCTTTACAGTGATAATTATGTCCCTTTCATGTCTTTTTGTTTCATCACAGAGCAAAAGGTGGAATTGGAAATTTCCTCTGTCTGTCCATCCATACATGTTGTGAGCATGATAACTTGATAAAACAAAGTTAATTATCAACTTCCATTTTGGTGTGTTGCTGTTGTAACAGGGGTGGTGCGATAAACCCAATGGTGCAGGCAGGCAGTCGAACACTCAGAAGGAAAATTAAATAAAGTATTTATTTATAAAAAACAAAAGGCTGTTGGTGCAGCAAAACTTACATGAACAACAAGGAGTTCACAAGGAGCAGACCAGGACATCACCAGTAGACAGATAACAATGGCAGGACAAGGACTAACACAGAGACACATACTTATATACAGTGATTATCAAGATATAACACCTGTGAGGACACAGCTGAAACACATCAGGGGGAATGATAAACTGGGAAACCAGGGAGTTCAGGAACAGAGGCACAACACCAGATGGAGCCATACTCTAGGAAAACACAAACCCTATAGAAAACAGGAACTGAGGATCATGAGAACACAAGACATAAACACAACACAAGATGGAGCTAGACACCAGGAAACAAACCATAATCCCTACAGTTGCTGGCGTCCAGGCGAAAGAAAGGTTATTTTCAAAAAAGAGCATGCATCAGGATAGTTATTTTCAAAACTTCAGTAGCCACATCTAAATCTAAGATGGCTGCCACCATAATTTATGTCACTGTCATGAGCCTGATAACTTGAAAAATAAGTGAATAATTTCAATTTAGGTGTGTGGCTACCTAGGTATAACAAAGGTTTCTTTATAAATTGGGTTGCCATGTCAAAATACAAGATGACTGCCTCTATATATGTATGAATGTAAACCTTGTGAGCTGGATAGCTTCAAAAATAAATGATGTGCCAACTTCTACTTTGGTGTGTGGCTGCATGTACAAAAGGTCACTATCAAAAATTGGGTTGCCAAGTCAAAATCCAAGATGGCCACCACCTTTTATATATGCAGATTGACCACCCTAATAGTTTGATGAAACTATGACTTCTAGTTTTCATATTGCTTAAATAGTTTCCTTAAATGATTGGGTGGCTGGACATTAATGTACGGTGCTAAAATCAATAAAATTGCTCCCTCCACTTGCTAAAATCTGTCACTCTGTGCTGCCTTGGGCAAGCAAAAAAACGACAAGCAAAAAACTAAAAAAGCTACCTCTATTCATATACACCGTGTAGCTACTATCCAATTCAATAATCTTGCACCAAGAACAAAGGTTTACTTGCATTCGCTGTTCAGTTTGAGTGTAGAAAAAACAGTTGTTTTGAAAACAACAAACATTCAATATTCAAATCCATCAACGACAGAGCAATTTGACATACTAATTATTTAATTTGCATTGCTCCCAAATAATTCAAATTACCTCAATTTTTCCATAAATGGCAGTTCATTAGTTCTGACATTTGATTTTTTTTTTCTTTTCAAGTTATATTGTTAATAAAAACATAGGTTTCTGGGAATGATTGCATTCATTTTGGTACAGTTTACACAACATCAGAATATTTTCAGAACTGTGGTTGTACTTTAACGTGAGAAAAACATTATAAAAAGCTTACAACAAACAGTCAATGTATTGCATTTAAGCTTAACTAAATGTAGCCAATATCCCCTCTTCAGTTTCCCTCACAGCAATCAATGCAGCACCTGCCAGCATGATGGCAGCAATGGTGAAGTGTAAGCAAGATGAACAGCATTTGGTTTGAAAAAGAGAAAGTCAAGCATTTCAGCTATATGAATGTCCAGTCTTATTTTGGCCTTTGCTGCAGATTCCAAAGAAATAAGATGCATCTGCGTGAGAAATATGCAAGTGGTTTACCTCACTGATGGCAACATAGTATCTAGGCTGCTGGAAGCGCGGTGCGTTGTCGTTCCGGTCTCGAACAACAATGCGAACCTCGTGCAAAATCACCGTCCCAATCAGCTCGTTGGTACATTGAACCTGAACCACAATGGACTGGATGTACGATGGAGGCTGAAAATGAGCAACAATAAAAAAAAAAGACAATACAATGCTAAAACATACAATTGCAAAGGAAAATTACAGTAACAAAATATATTGCACAGAAGTTATCAGAGAACTAGAAGTTTGTATTTGTGTCAGGTCACATTCAAACATTGCAGCAGGAGAACTGGATGATTCACAGAAAAGACGGAGCTGAAATTTGAGTTTTTCAAAGCAGCAAATGATGATGAGTGAGACATCCATAAAAATGTAATTCCCACATCAAAAACTCCCTTTATGGGATAGAAAGTAAATGTACTGGTGCCAATTTAGTGTGAAATTGTTAGAGGCGCCATGTTTACTAAAATGCCATGTTTGTTGGTGGCACAATGATAAAGTGGTGGTGGAAAGTCGTCAAACCCATTCAAGTTTTTATTTTTATTTTTTACATTTTTTTTTCAGGTTTCAAACTCATCTTAAGTTTTACAGAACTCATTCCCGCTCATAATTGTACACCCTCTTCTCTTGAGAAACAATGCAAGAAAATATGTTTTGTGAAATTTACAGAAACAAAAAAGCAATGATGAAATTAGTGATAATTTTTTTAAGTCCTTGGAAGTCTAAGGAAACCCATTTTATCCAATTCTAATATTATGTTCATACGAAATGGGATAAAAAGTATGTTCTAGTGCCACTTTCCTCACATGAATACAAGACTGAATTATTGTATTAAAAGCTAAGTATAACTTTTTGGCCACCATTTAAATTGAGGGGGAAAGGGGTAATTAGGAAATATGATTTGATAATCAAAGCAATGATAAAGTGTTCATTGAAAGTGTTTTATGTAAAAACTGACAATTGGGCAGTTTTGAGTGCTGTAGCCCTCAGGTTTGTATCAAAACAAGGACAGCTAATAAGACATCAGCTAACTCAAAGTCCACCTTTTTACAGATCCATTTTTGCAAGTGGCAGATATTGAAATGTTGAAAATGTTCTAGTTAATGACAGCAAAATTAGACAAGTCTGAAAAAGTCTGTCCTGAAACATGTCAGAATGAAACCTCTCCTCTCTTACGTTTACAAAAGTATATCAGAACAAATTACAAGACTGCTGAAACCCATGTTTTTTGTATAATAGAATAGAGAAAAAACATATAAGCTTGTTTCAGCTAAATCTTCAAACTAGACTGTCTAGCACAGAGGTCGTGGTGATCTGGGTTTGTTATGTAGCTGGAAGACGTGGGCTTCTTGCCCCCAATGAGTCCATCATGAACTTCTGTGTACAGTAGTCCCTCGCTACTTGGCAGTTCGACTTTTGCGGACTCGCTCTTTCGTGTTTGTTCGATGATTGTCAACTTTAATACTCCTCACGGGATTGGGATAGTTAATGAAAACAATACTTCATACAGGTGCCACCATTTTGTAGTTTTCCTTCATTAGGCCTACACTGTAAGGCCAGTCAAAAGAACTACACTACCCAGAAGCCAACAGTACTTCCGGACGCTGCTTTCTGATGAAATAGAGGGAAAGTTTTGCAATGCAAATCCATCCATCCATCCATCCATTATCTTTTACCCGCTTCTTCCATTTTGGGTCACAGGGGTCGCCGGTGCCCATGTCCAGCAATCACTGTGCGAGAGGCGGGGTACACCCTGTACAAGTCGTAAGTCCATCACAGGGACACATAGAGACAAACGAGACAAACAACCATTCACTCTCTCACTCACACCTAGAGACAATTTAGAGTTACCAATCAGCCTAACATGCAAGTTTTTGGTCTGTGGAAGGAAACCGGAGCACCCGGAGAAAACCCACGCATGCATGGAGAGAACATGCAAACTCCACCCAG